AACTGTGCCAACGATGCAAACTGTGCTAATGCTGCTAACTGTGCTAATGCTGCAAACTCTGCTAATGCTGCAAACTGTACTAACAAGGCTAACTCTGTAAATACTGCTAATACTGCTAATGCTGCTAACTCTGCTAATGCTGCAAACTCTGCCAACAATGCAAACTGTGCTAATGCTGCTAACTCTGCTAATGTTGCAAATGCTAATGCTGCAAACTGTATTAACAAGGCTAACTTTGTAAATGCTGCTAATGCTGCTAACTCTACTAACTCTACTAACAAGGTTAACTCTGTAAATGCTGCTAAAGGTGCTAACACTAACAAGAATAACTCTGTAAATACTGCAATCTGTGCTAATGCTACCAACTCTACTAACAAGTCTAACTCTGTAAATGCTGCTAACTCTGCTAATGCTGCAAACTGTGCTAACAGTTCTCTACTAGACATCAAACTTGTTCCATTCCAAAATATTTAAATGGTAAGCTTTAGCATTTAGCTGCAACATTTAAAATTTAACTTTTACATTTAGGTACATCTCGTTAGCAAGGTTAGTAGTTGTTTTTATCTCAGGATAATGACGTCTAATACTTTGCTACCATTGCTAACGGTACTAATGTTGCTGAAGATGGTATTTAAAGTTTAAATTCAAAATGTGTTAATTGAAAACAACATGGATGGTATCTGTGGTCCAGCAGTTTGAAGTGCAGCTCAGACAGTAGCCGCAGCTACAAGTTTGATATCTTGTAGGTTAGCTTTAGCTGTGTTAGCATCGTTAGCAGTTGGTATTGTCTCAGATGATGACCTAACAAGAGCTGAGCACCAACAGCAAAGCATTTCAAAATACTTAAATGTAAACTTTAATATTTAGCCCCATTTAAGATCACATTTTTACATTTCAGTTTACTCATTTAGATATTTATTTTTAGACATTTAAATGTAACATTTAGTAAAAATTAGCAACAATGAGCTAAATAATAAAACGTTAGTTGATTTTTTAAGCTAGGATTTTACATTTAATGTAAATAAGTGTTAGTGGCATTTTTAACATTTTATTTTACACTTAGCGCTCCATAATTCTCAACACAAAACTCATTAAAACATCATTTTAATGTGATTTACAACTTAATTATTGAGAGGTTTGACATTTTACATGAGCTCACAAAGCTGTCGTTAATTAAAATCCAGTTTATTTTCAACACGTCATGTGTCTGCATCACGCCGTGGGCTGGATGTGGGAAATCCTCTGTATCACTTTGTGTTTCTTCAGCTTCAATAAAGAGTTAAAGGAGTGACTGAGCAGCTCATTACTTTTCATTAGGTAGAAGTGTCACGCCTGTTGTCTTCAAGCCCAACTAAAAACAGGTTCCCACAGTAATGGACTGACGGCTCTGACGCAGGGAATTAAATTACATCAAGAGTTGAGAGGAGATGAGGAGGAGGAGGAGGAGGAGGAGGAAAACAGTCCAGCCCTGGGTTTAAACATCTCTGGGGAACTTCTGGATATTTCCTGAGATAGTCTGATAAAAAAGAAATAAAGTTCTTTTTCTCCACAGCTGACCTCACCCAGCAGGCAGAAGGCTGACAACATGATTTCAGCTCCTCAGAGACCTGCTTCGTCTGAGTTCAAGGTTCTAAAAACAAAACCGATTACACATCTTTTAATTCTCCCCCGAGTGTAAACTTTTAAAGAAAATTTTCCTCTGATTCGGTTCCTGCTCTGTAAATATCTGTTCCTAATTTCAGTCCATTTTCAGACCCTGGAAGTATAAAGAGTCTATTTCTGTATTGTTGATAAAACATAATAATTATTAGACAGTTATTTTAAAAAAGATATTTAAACCAACAAAAGCTTTTCTTAGACTTTTCAAGGACAATCCAGGACTGTTCTCATTTTGATCGCTAAATGCTAATAAAGCTAACAAACACAACATTAGCCATAACTTGTAAACAAGTATTTTAGGACAAACTTTGGGCTTGTTTTGGTCTTTTTTCAACTAAAATAAATTCTTTGTTTTAGGTTTTAGTCAAACCGGTAAATCAGCAGTTATTTGACTGAGCTTTGATTTGAAATAAAAACAAAACATTTGAAACTGAAAATAATTTTGAAACTACAAAAAAATAAATAAAAAGATTTGAAACTGAGAAAAAAATTGAATTGAAAAACAAGTATTTTAACTATTCTAATACAATGGCTTGCCAGTTTTTTAAATTAAGATACAAAGGCCTGCCATACGTCTTTAAATATATGATTAATTGACCTGTCATGTTTTTTTGATGACACAACAGCATGACCTACATTAATTAAATGACAACGGCCTGCCATAAACAGTTAATTATGAGACAATGACCTGTGACATACCTCGTTAATTATGACACATTGGCCTGCTATAAATCTACATATAATACAATGACCTACCATATATAAAATTATATGACAAAACGGCCTGCTATACTTATGAATTATATAATATGAAATGATAGTTAATTATATGTAACAAAGTACTGCCATATTTTCTTTAATTAAAAAACAACAGTGTTAAACCTTATAATATGATAAAATGGCCTGCCATACTTATAAATCAATTAAACGACATAATGGCCAGTCTTGCCTTGTTAATTATGACTCAATGGCCTGCCATAACGCATTCTTTATATGATACAACAGCATGCCATACATAATTATATGCTGCTAGTAGTAGATATTTCTTTATCAGTTTCATGTCTTTTTATTTCAGTTTCAAAACTTTTTTTTGTATAAAAAAGACTTTTTTTTTACAAACTTATGGACTTAAATTTAGCTCCATACAAACCTCTCTCTTATCACACATAAAAAATAATTCCCCATAAGTTAGTTTTTAAATCAGGTGTTTCTGTTCAGCGGGGTTTCGGGGTTCCTGAAACCACCAACACGCGACCACACTTGTTGAGTCTGCTCCCAACCTGCGAGCTCCGAGTCTAAAAAAAACAACTTTACCAAACAAACAGATGGTGTTTGCAGACGGAGTGAGTCAGCCGCCGACCTCTGCCGTTGTTCTTGCTGCGCCGCCTGTGTTTGGTCTACAAACTAATCGTTGTGTCGAGGCTTTCCTGATCGTGTGCCGCCGTGTCTGGCTGCGCCGCGGCTTTCCAAACCCGTGGATTTTATCAGCGAAACAGAGACGGTTTAATGAGGTCGCTATCTAAAAATCAAACTGACCTCGATGATGTAGTCGTTGCCGTTTTTTCCGTGGACGGCCTTGACGGCGCAGATGTCGAGGCCACCGAACATCTCTGCGCAGGAGTCCACCCACAAACGATATCTGCTCACAGAAACGATGGACAGAGCAGCATTTAGAGAGCTTATTGAAGATAAAGATGGGAGATTTAAAGGGATCCATGATTAGTTGTAACATTAGACTTTAATTAATAAACATTCATTTTAACTGTAACGACTGTAAAAATACTGTAGGCTGTTTAGTTTTTATAATTTTTAAACTAAAAGTTTAAAAATATATTACACGGACGGGGCCATTTTATTCACACACAAAGCATTCTGGGTAAATGATGACGTGGATAGGTCCTCGGTGCGAGGCTGCTAGCGAGCTA